TGAATTGAGCTATGGTGCATCGTACTCTCGGTTTCACGGGATGGGCAATACGATAACGTGATGTTTGGTAGGCCGGAATAGAATAAAGCGAGGATGAAATAGTCGTTCCATGAGAGTGATAGAACGAGAGAACGTGGATGGGACTAGAGTAACTGTTCTCTAATTGGATAATTACACAAATGGTCTCATGAAGTTTAACCCAATGTGCAGTGTTGTCCCTAAACTTTTAATTTATTCGATATGGTTCCTGAACTTTTGGTAAATATTCAATTTAGTTCCCAAACCATATGAGAATATCCAATGTAATCTTTCTATTAATTCAAATTAAGGGCGCGCATGGAATCCATTCTGGAGCAGAAATTCTGCTCCATAATGCATTCCGGAATAGAAATGCGTTTGTTAAAAAATTTCCGGAATGCATTCTGAAGCAATTTTTGCATTCTGGAATAAAGATGCGTTTGTTAAAAATACTTGATTCCAGAATGCATTCTTGATTCCAGAATACATTTTTTATTCCAGAATGAGTTTTTGGTAAGAAAAAGAGAAGCTACTTTTTGTAGCTTCTCTCTTCCAGAATGCATTCTCTCTCTTTTCTCTTTTTTTCGTGGCCTTTACAATACATTTTGAGATCTCACTAATTTTTTTTTTAGAAAATGCATAAAAATTGAAAAATTCCAGAAAAATTCATAAAAATTTCCAGAAAATAAAAAAAGTCAAATTTCGGTAAAATAGGAAATTTGGTGAATTTTTTTCAAAAAATATAAAAAAATAAAAAAATTTCGAAATTTCACAGAATGGCTTAGAAGCCACCCTTGAGTGAAATTTAAATTTTTTTAAGTGTCCAAAAAAATCAAAAAATCAAAAATTTCAAAACTTCACAGAATGACTTAAAATACCTGTGGCCACTCATTTTGAGTGAAATTTAAATTTTTTGAGGTGCCAAAAAAAATCAAAAATTTCAAAACTTCATAGAATAGCTTAAGAATACATGTGGCTACCCATTTTGAGTGAAATTTAATTTTTTTGAGGTGCCCAAAAAAATAAAAAAATTTCAAAACTTCACAAAATGGCTTAGAATATCTTTGACCACCCACTTTGAGTGAAATTTAAATTTTTTGAGGTGCCCAAAAATATTAAAACTTCACAAAATGGCTTAGAATACCTGTGGCCACCCGCTTTGAGTGAAATTTAAATTTTTTTAGGTGCAAAAAAAATCAACAAATCAAAATAGATTTTTGTTCCAGAAATCAATTTCTAGAGCAGAATTAGTCATATTTTATCAAATAGATTTCTCCTTCAAAAATCAATTTCTGGCAAAAATTTGATTTCTGGAGCAGAATGGTTACCATTCGCGCCCTAACGGAATTTGCTGATTTGACTTCCAATTCGGTAAGTTTGAATGGTGAACAAAAAAGTAACGTTACACATATCCAGTTATTCAACTCAAATAAAAATATAGTAATCATTTTAATTTTTTAATTTTGTTCAATTTGAAAAAAAATGATTATTTATGTTAAAATTTGATGACGTGGATTATCATATTCTGATTTAAGTTGAATATACGTGGAATAATCCACATGTAACGTTTTTTTTTTTCCACCGTTCAAACTAACCAGATTGGAAGCTAAATCAGCAAATTCCGTTGATTTGAATTAATAGAAGGATAATATTGAATATTTTCATATAATCAAGGGATTATATTGAACATTTATCGAAAGTTTATTGACCATATTGAACAAATTAAAAGTTTGGAGATGACGTTGCATATTGTGCCGAAATTTAGGAACCTTTTGTGTCATTTTCCCTTCTCTAATTAAATTTGCAGGAAAGTAATATTTATTGCAAAACTGTGTCTTTGTTTGTGGATTAATTAGAACCCACTAGGAATGAGCAGCAATCTTTAAGAGGTCCCATAATTTCGCTTGAAATATAGTCGGTGCTTAATTTCTTCCATTCTCATATTCTCAAATATCACGAATTAATAATTATCCAAATTTATAAGTAGTCATAATATTTTATCTCTGACAATAATTATTATAGTCAACTACTATTTATTGTCGTACTTGTACTAACAACAAAAAATATGGTGTAATCAGCAACAGTAAACTTAAAGTCATAGTATTATTGTATAATATTTGTTCTTGAATAAAATTATGATGGTAATTTAGAGCACATGATTGTCGTTGCAATAGTATAATATTATGTTAAAATAAGTAATTGTTAAAAGGGTTAATACCACGAAAAACCCTAAACTGGTACACTTGTGACAGATTTATCCCAAACTATTTTTTTGACCATAAAAAATCCCAAACTGGTACATCTGTGACAATTTTACCCCGAACTATTTTTTTGACCACCAAAAACCCCAAACTGGTACACCTGTGACAATTTTACCCCGAACTATTTTTTTGACCACAAAAAATCCCAAACTGGTACACCTGTGACAATTTTACCCTGAACTAATTTTTTAATATTATTTTTTTTATTTTTCGAATTTTTTTAGTTTTTCTTTTCTTTTCTTTTTCCTTTCCTTTTTTTTTTTTTTTCCTTCTTCTTCATCGGACCAACAATGGATTGTTATATTGTAATTGATACCACAATAACGTGACACGTAACATAAATGCTACATTTTGACCAAAAAAAAAACATAAACGCTAAATGAAAGACTTTCTTTTATATGCATGAATTTTCATGACAACCACTTTTTTCTACATTTAAATGTCTCACGTTTTATTTATTATATATTTCAAGTGATCATATTGATTTATGAATTGCCATGCACATATAATATCTCTCATCTTATATATAAAATATACTAATTTTGTAAATTAATCTGTTAAATTAAATTGGCAAGCAAGACGTATATAAATTGTTGATTAGCTGTACTCCAAGCTTAGGTAACAAGCCTACGTTGGACCCCATCAGTTTGCCTATCCACTTGCACCCAAAAATAAGAAAGACACGACAACAATATAATGCCTTTTTCGCGAGACATTTAAATGTAGAAAAAAGTGGTTGGCATGAAAATTCATGCATATAAAAGAAAGTCTTTCATTTAGCGTTTATGTTTTTTTTTTTGGGTCAAAATGTAGCATTCATGTTACGTGTCACGTTATTGTGGTATCAATTACAATATAACAATCCATTGTTGGTCCAATGAAGATGAAGGAAAGAAAAAAAGAAAAGAAAAGAAAAACTAAAAAAATTCGAAAAATAAAAAAAATAATATTAAAAAATTAATTCGGGGTAAAATTGTCACAGGTGTACCAGTTTGGGGTTTTTTGTGGTCAAAAAAATAGTTCGGGGTAAAATTGTCACAGGTGTACCAGTTTGGGGTTTTTAGTGATCAAAAAATAGTTCGGGGTAAAATTGTCACAGGTGTACCAGTTTGGGGTTTTTTATGGTCAAAAAAATAGTTTGGGGTAAATCTATCACAAGTGTACCAGTTCAGGGTTTTTCGTGGTATTAACCCTTGTTAAAAAATACTAAGTTATTACTTTATCTTGATAAATGATTAATCATAACCCAAATCATATATGATAACGGCATGATAATTATATCGTATAGTCTACATTTAGAATGTCTATATCTATTGTTGAACTTATGATTACTAATTAAGTTTTAGTTATAGGAAAACTAAGCTGAAATAGAAACTATTAGTAATATTTAATTTCTAATTATAAGTAATACTATTACTCATACTTATATTATCCATATATACTTGAGTATAAATTATGTCTTTGCTATAGACAGTAATTCGATAAATGATGGTCTAATTACAAATCATAACTTGGTCACTGATATTACTAATATTTCATGATAATCAACAATTGGATCATGAAATAAGATTTCCAATATACCACCTTGTTAAATAGAATAAGGTGCTAATTCCAAAAAAAAAAGCACGAACTTTGCCTTGAATGAGAATTTTGACTCGAACTTTCTTTTGTTTAAAAAAAAACACTAACTTTTACTTGAGTTTCAAATCTAGCCTTCCTGATGTGAAATTTTCAAACTGTCAAATTTAAGATTTAAGTGAAAGTTTGTGATTTTGTATAAACAAAAAAAATATTTGGGCTAAAATTGTCACTCAAGATAAAAGTGGTGCTTTGTTTTGAAATTAGGCTATAGAATGAATAATAATTTAAAAGAAGCGGAACATTTTTTTGGCCAGCTCAAATATTGGGCTAAGGAATTACTTTTTCATGATTTGACCTCTAATGGTTGTGAGTAAAAAATGGAATCTAAGGTCTGAAGCTTATCGAGGTACGAGATCAAGCAACTTTATCGGCAGCCAATCCATTCAAGTCCACTCTATAGGTCACATCAATCTTTTTTTTTTTGTGGAATTGATGATATAATTCAATGAATTAAATTTATAAACAGTTAATCACTCTTTTATCTTTAGATTAGTATTACGAAAAATTCAAAACTGGTACACTTATAATAAATTTACTTCAAATTAATTTTTTGACTACGAAAAATTTTAAATCGGTACATCTATGATAAATTTACCAAAAACTAATTTTTTAATAAAAAAAGTCCAAAATTGGTATATTTGTGATAAATTTACCATCCATTAAATTGAATTAATCACAAACCGGTACACCTATGACAAACGGAGGGTAAAACCCTAAACCAGTAGATCCGTCAACTGTTACGTATTATTCAATTCAGAAATTTAATAATAAAATTTAACGAAGACTAACAGAGGGTAAAATTATTAAAAATGTATCGATTTGAAAAATTTTAAAGACCATAAAATTAATTTAAATTATTTATTATAAATATATCAGTTTGAGATTTTTCGTTACGATAATCATTCGTGTTTTTGGCTACCAAGCATTAATCTTTTTCTTTTTAATTTTTTTTCCAAATAGCACTTTCACGATCAAGCGTCCATTTTTTTCAGTGTGGAAAACGATAACTTCTTGGAAGGGAAAAGGTAGGAGAGAGACGGAGCGAAGGACGCGGTTGCTGATGATGATGATGGAGGGGTTAAGCAAAGGCATGGGCGCAAGGCAAATGGAACCCTCTTCTCTACCCTTCCATTGACAAATCTCTCTCTCTCCCCCTATTGCTATCAACACTAGTAGCCTACTTTAATCCTCTTCAGTCGGCCTCGTTGTCGTGTCAATCGAAGAAGTGGGGTTCACGTCTTGGGTTGGCTTCGATCCTGGGGATCCTCGACAAATTCGAAGCCGAAATTCGAAAAAGCAGGGGAAGAAGGAAGGGATTCGAGGGTTGGGAGGCCGACCCCCACCGACCCTTTTCTCGGATAAAGCAAAAGCGTTGAAGATCTCTAAGGAAGAAGGAGCAGAACAGGCAGATCGGATCGTGCTCGCTGTGAATTCTGGTACGGATGTGTAATTCGTTCTCGTTCCTTTCGTTTGCTCCTTTTATTTTTTTCTATTAATTTTTGACGTTCTGTCAACTGGGTGTGATTCCATTTGTTGTGTTGCTGTTCGGTTGAGTTCTTGAACGAGTTTTCTATGATTTTAACGTTCTGTCAACTGGGTGTGATTCCATTTGTTGTGTTGCTGTTCTGTTGAGTTCTTGAATGAGTTTTCGATGATTTTAGCCTTCTGTCAACTGGGTGTGATTCCATTTGTTGTGTTGCTGTTGGGTTGAGTTCTTGAATGAGTTTTTCGATGATGGGTTGCTAGCGGATGAAAGAAAAAGAGAGGGAGACGGCGATGGACGACAAGAAGGGCAATGGCGATGGTGCTGATGATGAGAAGAAGCAGAAGAAGAAGAGGAAGGGTCTGGTGTCCTGGATTTTCGGCTTCTTCCGGATGAGCCGGAGTGACGATTTCGAGAAGCGGCTGCAGTACATCTCCAAGGAGGAAGCTGCCGTGCTCTCCCGGATGAAGCGGCGATCGCATTCGTGGCGCCGAATGGCCCGTCATCTCATCCTCTTCTCCCTCCTTTTCGAGGTATATATATATGTAGATACATGCTGTGCGCGTTTGCTATTCTCGCGCGCACGCGATGATATAGATCGCACACCTACACATACACACTGACTGAGTGACGATGGCTCTTCCAGATTGTCGCGGTGGGATATGCCGTCGTGACGACTAGGTCGGTGGATCTTGACTGGAAAATGAGGGCTTTTCGGGTCTTGCCCATGTTCCTCTTGCCTGCTCTTTCTTTCGCATCTTATTCTGCTCTTGTCAGCTTCACAAAAATGTGTAAGTGTCTCGAACCAAATGATAGCCTTGTAAATAGCTTCTCATTCTTGTAGACTCTTCTTTCTTGTTTTCATATGGTTTTAGATTTTGCACTGTCCTTGTTGCATTGGTTTTGAGAAAATGTACATGATTGATTTGCAAAAGTTCACTAGGAAGCAGTAGTTTTAGCAGTTGGGATATGGATATCTCCTGATTGTTTTTATTAAGTTCTGCATGAATGCCAAATGTAAAGTTGGGCCAAAATCCTGATTTAAAATGAAGATAGGAAATGGCGATACGTTGAATTATGTGATGAATCCAAAAGCAGAATTTAGGGACTAAGTAGTAGAAAGATTGTGATAGTGGAAGGTGACAATTGTTTAGTTTTTCTGATGCTGGCTGCGTTATGTGTACCCTTGGTGGTAGTCTGTTGAATATTATTTGGTCTATAGATGGAGTCTTCTCCCTGGATTGAGAAGAGAGAGAATGCTTTGTTAATTGATACTTTGTTGTGATTTATGGGCACACTGCAAAGAGTCGTCGAGGTTCATAATTTGGTCTTTCATTGATTGATTCTGTCTATGTGGATATGCTCAATGCTATTTCTATTATTTAGTGGATCATGAATTTAAAAGTTGCGGAGCATAAGTTTTTTTTGTCTTAATAGAGGTTATGGCGTGGGAAAATGGGGACAATTTACAGAATTGCGGAAGAGCCTGGGACTTACTTAACCGGATAAAATCCCTTTGTTCAATGTTGTCATGGTTTTTTCTTGTGCATTGCAAGAAAAGGCTTGGATAAATAATCAAACGATTTGATTTTCGAATTTCTAACACAATTTTAAGTTGCTTGTTTTCTAGTGTACTTTGCTATAATTGTGTAGCTTTTCTTCTTCATGTTTTTTTCTCAAACTTTTGAGAATGAACAGGTGGAACAAATTAAGCCATGTATGTGATATATTCAAGTAAGGCTGCAAACAAAATCCAGTCTTTCTGTTTTGTTGTTGAAAACACAAAACTGATTGAGGATTGTTTTAGGGGCAGGCAATATCAATCTAGAATTGATCGGACACTATTTAAAGCCCTCATGTTGCCATTGCCACATGCACAACATGAGCAGGGGGCGCGTCCTATTGTTAGTATAGTTTATTAAACAGGTTTCACCGGAGGAATTATGGACATAAAACTGCACTCTCCTGCCAAAATGAAGAAAAACGGGGAGGGATAATGGTAGGGGCGGCATGACCTCCATTTTCTCTCTTTAAGTTAATCATATTGCCCCAAGCACTGAGTGACTAATTAGGAACATGTCCAAGCAGGTGCTATTTTATCTTCTCTAGTGTTTATGTAGGACCTAGAGATGTTGCCTTTTCTTCTTTAAATCTTTAATGGCCTGTTTGACGAGGACTTATTACTGCAGCCAGACACTGTTACCCTTAATCAAATTCTACCTTATGTTCTTGCAACTTTTAATGGTGGGGAAGTTCTTTTTCTGCTGTGACCTTGAGGCTCTGGAATCTAGAGCCATTTACTTGAAGAGCTTGTTTGTACAAGAGAGGCACCTTATAATGTTGATCCACATTCTTTCTGAGGGAGGACAGGCGTGCAGAGTGTGTGGTGACGTCGTAACCGGTGCTTATGCAAACTTGCTGAGTAGCTTTTCACACCGGAGTAGCTTATGCAAACAGCTGGAGTAGATGTTAAGAGTTAATTTTGGGGTAACCAGGTGCAACATTAGAAGATTATAATGATTCACTATGTATTTTCAGAAACTGAAAGCTGGGTGTCATTGGTCACTGCCAGTAGCGCAGAATATCTAAACTAACATTAGAATATCCCATGTATTCACTATGTTGATGTTGAAACTGTATCTCAACTTGGCTAGAGAGCACCTTTGAATTATGCATTGCCATGGGACAAGTAAAATTAGTTGAGCCTTCTTAGGTTACACATCTAATGTAGGTCAAATTGTTAGCTCTACAGGGATGGAACTTTCATTTTTCAGTTCAACAAATATTTGAATTTGCAATGGCTACATTTGGAGGAAAAGCAAGAAAGAAAGAGGAGACCTATATGGACATTTTTTTTATACTATCAAAATTGACTCATTTTGTGAAAATATAGTATCATTTTCGCCATTTTCTAGCCTAGTTGCTCACAAATGTTGTCTTTAAGTTCATTTTCTAATAGCAACAAACTCTGAATTTCTAATTTCAGATCCTTTTTACATATTTCTTGTATATACTGAAAGTAATGTTTGTAGTTTCAATGAGACTAAAGATTTAGGATTATTTACTTTTAACCTTTTGCTTTTTAGCATTAGAGATTTGACTTTTCAACAACAATTAAGACCTCAACTGTAGAAATCTAAACAATGCAAAGTCATTTGAAGTCATCTTAAATTTTTATCAAATTTTTCTAAGGTCAAATAATTCTTTTTTCTTAAACTTTTTGTTTAAAAGAAGTCATAACGGATGGAGCTTTTAATAAATACTTGGCCTGCTCTCAACCAAAATTTATAAATCAATGTTTTTGATCAAACTCTCCTTTAAACTTACTGTGGAGTTCAATTTACTATTTCCGTCCGGCATTTATAACAGAAATCTCTATGGATCAGTTGATTTACAATTCAACTATTTCGTTGATTACATGGCACCTACTTATTGTCAATCGTTCAAGGACCATTTTTTGTAAAACATCTTGTCTGCGGATAACTGGTTGAGTTGATTATTAAATCCACTACTAAATTGCAGATAATTGTTGATGCTGTGTCGTTTACTATTTAGCAAACTTAGGCATCTTGAATTCAGAGAATGGGATAAAAGTTACATCTGCACATTTTTGTTTCTGGTCTGAATGTGTTAGCATGTGTGGCTATGCCTTGGATGATCTGTTTCATATTAGGTGTAGGTTCATCTTTATCTTGATTGGCCCAAATTCCCAACTTCTTGTTCATGATGTTGAATTTGAGATTTTTGATGTATATTGATTGTCTGACCGTTTGATCGTGTTGACTTTAAAGGTGATCGCAAGGACCAAAAAACTGTCGAGCGGCTTCGGACTGAGAGGCAAGCGAAAATTGATGAACTTAAAGAGAAGACTAACTATTATTCTACTCAGCAGCTAATTCAGGTGACGTCTTTTGGGGGTGGGGGGCATTTTCACACTGGTATATTCTATTGTTATTTGTTTGCTTTGTTAAGTCATTTGAAAGAATTGCTCTCTGAAGTAAAAGAGTTAGTACGAGTGATGTTGCTTGAGGCGTTTATTACTCTGCCCCATTTTTTTATTGTAAATTGCTATGTCATTGTTAAGAAGAGAAATTGCAGAATTGTGATGCAATGGTTGGCCAATAAGTTAGGCTGAGGTCCTTTTGCAATGGGACAATGTACGCATTTATCTAAGGGATTTGACTGTCAACCAATAAGTCAAATTGCAGAATCATAATTCTTACTTCATACATTTTAACTCCCGTTCTTTCCATGAACCCACTTGATTGAAACAGGAGTCAATTGTTTGAAGTAAACATCAATTTGATTCCACTACCCTACGTATTGGTAGGATGGGGTCAAATTTTTTTGCTTTCCCTCAAGTTTCTTTTCCACTCTCTCACTCTTTTTTTGCTTTTTGTTTTTATTGTTCGGTTTTGGGTTGGTTTTTTTTGTTTTTGTTTTTTTTGGGGGGGGGTTGCTACTAACCAACGTGATTGATTTTCACAAAATATAGAACTCTGGGTATTTACCTGTTTATTTGATAATAAAGACTGTAGTAAAGCAAGGTAGACTAAATATAAAAAGAATTGACTCCCTGATGCTATACACTTTACGAACACCTAATTTCTGGAACCTGTGTGGATATTCAACTATCAAGTAGCTCTTGAAGGTGTGCGTTTTTGAACATCGACTTATATTCATTGTGAATCTTGACTGAGTTTTTTTTTGGGCCAAAAATTCTGGCTGATAGTTAGCTTTGTTAGTTTGGTACTATTGGTTAGGTGGTTGATGCCCAAGTGCAAATTTTGCGGTATTGGGCTGCAAAAAAGGATCAATCGCGTAGTTGGGTCTTTTATCAGTGCAGGGCCTGGGGACTTTAATAAATAGTATCTGGAAATGGAAATAGATAGAAGGGAGCTTGTTGCTAAAAACATCATTTTGCTGTGCTCATGTCGCATGCACTCTGTATAAACACTCTCACTTATGTTTAATGTTCATCAGTCTTTAATTCTTGTTTTTAATCACCATTCATAGCTTAGGAGTAGGTAGTGCAGTAGTCTTGTGAGAGGTACAACTTGGGGAATTAAGTTCATATTGTAATAACATCGAAACATCAAAATACATAAACCAATTATGCAGTAACTATGCTGTAGTTGGAACTATATCTATTTTCTTAGCTATTCCTTGAGCTTTGTACTTTGTTTCATGTACGTTTCTTTCCTCCTGTAGTTTGTGCATCTGTTCTTGGGCATGGTCTTGTATCATTTGCAAAGTCAAGGCGTCATACTTAATGTTGATTTTCTCTACAGCGATATGATCCAGATCCAGCAGCCAAGGCAGCTGCCGCAACTGTCCTGGCATCGAAATTGGGTGCAGATTCTGGCTTGAAGGTGTTTGTAGGAGACGAATCTCAGTCCGTTGCCTCGACGGGGAAGAGCAATGACGTTGAGCTTGCGCAGTCCAGTGGGCTACGGAATAGAAAAGAGTTGCACACCAGGGCTAGCAGTGAAGGGAGTACCATGACGCGTCAATCAGATGGAGGAACACCCACTTCAGCAGCTGAGCACGAGCAATTGGTTGTTGACCACTATTATCCAGATGCATCATCCATTCAGAACAATGGATGGATCGCTCGACTTGCAGCATTGCTTGTGGGCGAGGATCCAATGCAGTCTTATGCGCTCATATGTGGTAACTGCCACATGCACAATGGTAAGCGAGTTATCTTGTTTATATAGTTTGTCATGCTTGTTTTATTTAACAAATGCAGGCGATGATCTTTCTTTTTAGATTGCGATGTCATTTGGTGGGGAGTAACAGCACGGCATTCTTGCTTCTGTGCAGGGCTCGCTAGGAAGGAGGATTTCCCGTTCATCACTTACTACTGCCCGCACTGCCGTGCCCTTAATCAGCCAAAACAGTCGGAAGAGCATGTCTCCGGGTCTACATCCCCGGACATGGGTTCCTTGAGGATGGGTAGCGGAGGAGACACGATTGACAATACCGCTGGTTCAGCGAGCGACAGTGTGGCCACGACGACCGCCACTTTAGGGGCCGCTGAGGTAGTGGAAGCACCAGAAAAGGTTGCGTCAGGCGATTCGGCTCCTAAGGGATAGTAAAATATGCGCCGCTTCTGTTTTTTTTTCTTTTCTAATCCCTTTACGACCTGTTTGTGTTTGCCTGCGACTAGATGGATTTTGTGTAGGTTGTCTTGCTTGGTCGTGACTTCGGAGTGTATACGCCTTTTTGGACAGGATGCATAGATCGCGTGGAGTGGGTATGAGATTTGTGTATCTCAGCTTTTGGAATTGATGTTTTCTCGACTGCCATTAGATGGAACTGGTTAGAGGCAAGATCTTATCTGGAACATAAGTACATTAGCATAAGGTAACCATAAACCTAATATTGACTAAGACTATTCTCCCAAAGATGCTTTAATTTAGTTTGAATTGCTTCTTTGGTGTTACTATCTCACCATATGACAAGACTAATCATCCATAAATCGATGACCTAACTTGCAATCCCTCTTGATCCCGACCCGCGAATTCGGATTAAATTGTTGGCAAGCCTAGACTTTTGCCTAGAGTCGTATGGAATACCGAGTTGACGTTTAGACACATCCCTTGAAAGGGTTTCTAATCCTGTAAGTACTTCCAGAAGAGATGTATGATCGGAAGGATTGACGCTTTGCATCGCGTACTTAGAGCAAAACTTCGCCTAGGCTCGGAAGTGGGGAGCTCTAAGGTAAAGTTAAACACTTGCTGGAAGATTTGAGATGTCGAGTTTCGGCTGAATGATAGGGTTTTGCCGCAGCCCATGGGCCGTGTAAAAGCTCGTTCTGAAGATGGGCCGACCTGATTGAGTTTTGAGTCGGATAGAGTTGAAAAATTAACCGCAAAGATTACATATTAACGAATCTAGTGTCATCTTGACAAGAGATAAATTGTGAAGAAGTACCTAAGTTCGAGTGGACTGTTCGTTATACGAGTGATATAACATAACTTTGGGATACCGGAGTAGAAAACCGTATATTACCGGACGCATAGGATACATCACTTCACAACAAAGTTATGTCGATTAGACAAGTCCTCCAACGTCACATAGAGAAATCACCGCATTGTAATCCTATTAGATGTTCACATCCTCATCACTAGTAGATGCAATACATAGGCAACTAGCAAGCATGGAAGAAACGCTGAACATGCACAATTTCATAGGCTAAGGAAATGAAAGCATTTTCCATTATGTCTTAAATAACCCGTATATTAAAAATTAAGAAAATTCATTCGATTTAAAGTTATAGTAAAATGAAAATTTAATGAACTTACGATACATTTATAATCTAGTTTCTTATGTTACAATCTCATGTCGCTGACCTTACTAACCATTCAAAATAACATATACGCATATATCCGCATGAAATGCGAGGGAAATAGTTAGTATTATAAAAAAAAAATTGAGATTGGATATATATTTACTATGCTTAGCGTTCTTATATATTGTAGTTGTAGGAAAAAATGGACACCTAGTTCTTGAACTTGAACTTGAACTAACTTCTTAATATTGTTGTGTAACTTGTATTTGTGCAATGGAGTCACTGAATGCATAAATTTTTTTCTAATAAGTCGTTCTATCGCCAACTCTGACAAATTGAAGCTGACGAGTCGACTTGATTGGTGCCGACCAAAATATTTGATATTGAAATAGTTATTGCCAGTCTGTGTCACCGACACGATGCTTGGTTCGCGCGGGCAGTGCAATCCTTGACACGATCACACTTCCAACCGTGTTGTTCACTCTCACTTGTGTTTCCCGTCCCCTTTCCTCTCGTGTTTCACTCTTACACAAGACAACCCAGTCCGGGCCGCTTTGTTGGACTAAATATTCAAGGGATGATTACCAAAAAAAGTCCTAAAACCTATTATTATTATGCCAATTCCAATTCAATCTTTAACTTTTTAATTATGCCAATTTAGTATTAAACCTTTTTATATTTTATCAATTGAGTTCATCTTGTCAATTTTGGCATGAAATCGTTGAAGTGGACATCGATCAACCCTGACATGGACATTTTTCTAATAATATTTTAATATTTGATTGAGGGCTGGCAAGGGTCGCCTGTTGACCCTTGGTGTGGCCGGCGAGGACCTAGGCGAGGGCCGCGATGCCCTCGCCTGTGCCTAGCGAAGGTGTCCCAACCCTCACCTATGGCTAGCGACCCTTGCTGGCCCTCGATAAAAAAAAAAAAGTAAAGAAAAAAAAGGAAAAATTATAAGAAAATTCAAAAACTGTTAAAATATATCCACGTTAGCGCTAGTCGTGCCACGTAGGACAGATGTTATTCACGTCAACGATTTCCGGTCAAAATTGATCGGATGGACTCAATTGGCACAATGTAAAAATGTTTAAGACTGAATTGACACGATTGACAGGTTAATGATTGAATTTGCATAATTATAATAGGTTTAAGAGATTTTTGATAATTTCTCCAAGGATTCAAGGATCTCTCACTGACACTCACCCAAGAGAGCAGCACTCCAAGATCACTTTTGGACACCAGTTTGGGAGAACGAAATACTACACTAGTCAAAGAATTCAAAGGATATCTTCATGCCCCTAGATGCTTCCTATATATTGCATTTGATAGTTCTATTCCCCTCCCTCGAACACACTATGGCCAATCCTTGTCCATGAACAATACTTATACTTTACTTGATCTTTTACTGAGTCACGTCTATGGCGCGCGGCTCGTGCTCAATTCATCTAATCGACTCGGGTCGTGACATATGAAATAGGATATATCGAGAATTCGGCTAATCGTATATTGGGTGCCGTGTCGGTAGCTTGGTATTGATTCCTTTCCTTCGTTTTCACATCATAGTGTTGGCTAAAAATCGGGTGGGCAGGTCGGCTTTAATTGCCCGGAATTAGAGAGCGAGGGACCTGATTGCAAAAAGTTCGATTGATTGAAGGACTTGAATGCACAAACCACAAATTCAAGAACGGGCGTTGCGTGGGGAGCGCGAGGTGCGAAGTTGAGGACCGCAAATTTCCGATTTTATTAAATTAAAAAAAAATATTTCGCAGCCAAAAAAAAAATATTTGAAAAAAAATATTTTGCGGGCTACGGCCGATCCGTACGCCTCTTTGAACCGTACTCTTACTGTCGCTAAAAAGGCGCGCAAAAGAAGTGAATGAAGTAGCGACGACCACGTCGAAGAAGAAGAAGAAGAAGAAGAAGAAAGATTTGTATGGCGGTCATGGATTTGGTCCTATCCCCTCCTTCCAAATCCCTCTTCTCCTCCTCCGCCGCCGCCGCAGCCGCCGCCGCCTCCTCCGCCTCCGCCGCCGCCGCCGCCGCAAGCTGCCGCCCCGCCGTCATTCTTCCGGTCTGTGCGTGTTGTGATTGGGAAGTGAACGCACGTTCTGAACTCGGTCGTTGCTGATTTTAGCCGGAGTTTTTTGTTTTTTTGGGGCAGGGGTTAGGGAACAACGCGGGGGACTACGGGAAGCTGCAGCTCACGCTGGAAGGCACCGGCGTCCCCAGCGTGGTCGCGAAGGTGTCGCGGCTCGATTGGTTCAGGAACGCCGCCGGATTGGTCGACCCCAATTACTGGCGCGGCACCCTCCGCCCTCGCCCCGTCCTCGACTGGTACTCTCTCCGTCTCTCGCTCGATCGATCGATGCTTGATGTTGGGTTTGGTTTGGTTTGGGCAATTTCGAATGGACGTAATTAGACGTGTTCGTGTCGTTTTTCTCGGAATTGGTGAATTGGTGGAACGTAGGTACTTGAAGAGGGTCGATGAGGCCGTGCGAGAGGCGAAGGAGCTGGCTCGAGGTACGCTGCATTGCATCTCTGGGCCACCCTATGAGCTTGTTTCTTGCATTTTCGTGTGGTGTCTCGTTGATGTTGTGGGATCTGGAGGAACAAATGTTCCCGAAACAGTCGCATTAGATGTAATCTTTCTTTTGCTTTTTCGCTTTCGATGTGATCGTCATCAGCGTGCAAAACTTCATCGGGCATTTGAAGGTAATTGTAGGTTAATTTTGCATAATGCTGTTACGCCTTTCTTTGCGCTGAGGAACATATTATGCTAATGAACCATAGGACGCAAAAATCTGGACTGTGTGAGGTCGTGCTCGATGCTGGCGTAAGACAAGGTGGTGACTTTTGAACCACTGCAATTTTTCTTTTCTTGAAAACATAGAAAGGTGAAAAATTGAGAGCAGATAAAGCATGGGCAATAATTTTTCGCGAGAGCAACTTTGACTATCTCAAGATATTTGAATTTTTGAGTGGTCTTTCCTATGAGTTGCGCAATCACTTCTTCAGAGCAGTGTGTAATTTATAAAGCGTAACTCCTTAGCCGAATCCTTTCTGACATAAAATATGGGGCTTGCTCTTGGCTTAACTCTTCATCATGGAAATCTCTCGTCGTACTTTCCCTGCCTCCTTCCACTATATATTTTCCACTGAAGGATTACATTCTCCTTTCCAATCACATGATAGGAGCTCTTTCTCATTCTCGTTTTAGGTGGCTCGTTATCTTTGATCGGACACTCAGCGGGAGGATGGTTAGCACGTGTCTATATGGAAGAATTTGGAGTGTGCGATATATCTCTGTTATTGACTCTGGGCACTCCTCACTCGTAGGTTTCAAAGTTTCTGACTCGATCTCTCTATGCCCCTTCATACCTTGTTCTGGCTCTTTGCCTATAACTTTGACGTGCTGTATATCTATTATCTGTACACTGATTTACTTGTTAGATCTCAGTCTGGAACTCAAGGAAACAGTACAATTACTTCATCTTTGTAATCAGGCCACCTCCAAAAGGACTTTCTGGGGTTATAGATCAAACCAGGGGTCTCTTGGATTATGTTGAGAAGAATTGCAGAAATGCTGTGTATACTCCAGAACTGAAGTATGTGTGTGTTGCAGGAAGGTACATCTCATCACTTTGGTCCTTTTTCTTATCCTAAAATAGTTTTAAGAACCTCTGGTTAGCTGCTTCAGTTTGGAATGTTCATGTAAAAGCAAAGTGATTAGCTAATTGTCACTATAAGATACTACAGTACAGAGATTTATGCAATTGGACTATATCTTGCCATGAAAATTTTATTGTTTCACTAATACACGGCATCTCCTCTTGTTGACCTGACCTAAAACTTGGTGTTTTGACTTAAGATCTATTAGGGGTTTATCCCATGGATGGTACCAACATTCTATACTCCAAGGATTCCTTTCGTGGTAGTTTTTACTCTAGTTGTTGTTCGTTCATTTGGAAAAGTTTTATTGTATTAGGCACCTGGAAGACTGGCTAGAACTTCCTATCCTATAGGGTAATTACCTTTCTCAAAGACTTTGTGGCCAAAATGTCTCTTGTTCTCCATCTTTCTTGATGAGCCTGAATTTGAGAAAACCTTTCCCATATCCTTGTAGCATTTTCT